ATAGTATTTTCAAACGTATTGGATAGGTGATCGATTCTGTATATTTTTTATGTCCAAATGTATTTTTATTTAAGTATAGAGTGATAGTATCACAATCTTTTCCTTTCAGGGCATTGTTTCATTGTCTTTTAGCCTATAGTGTTGCTGATAAGAAGAATGTCAATTTGATTACCATTCATTTATAGGTAACCTGTTTTGACTTTACAGTGCTGAAAAACTTTCTCCAATTTGGAAATGTTCTACATCTGCACTATCCAATAGGGCAGATGCTAGCCACAAAAGGTTATAATCACTTGAAATGTGGCTTGTATAACTAAAGAATTGGATTTTTAATTATATTTAATTTTAATTTATTTACATTTAAACAGTGTCATATTAGTGGATATTGTACTGAATAGTAACTAGAGGCTTTACTGTAGAGTTTTCTGAAACTTATTTTTAAAATCATTTTATTGGGGGCTCATTCAACTCTTATCACAACCCATGCATATATCAATTGTGTCAGGCACATGTGTACATTCGTTGTCCTCATCATTCTCAAAATATTTGCTCTCCTTGGTATCAGCTCCTCATTTTGACCCCTTTCTCCCTGCTTCCCCCTCCCTCATGAACCCTTGATAATTTATAAATTATTAATATTTTGTCATGTCTTACACTTTCCAACGTCTCCCTTCACCCACTTTTCTGTTGTCCGTCCCCCATGGAGGAGGTTATACGTAGATCCTTATAATCAGTTCCCCCTTTCTACTCCACCTTCCCTTCACCTTCTGGTATCACCACTCTTACCAATGGCCCTGAAGGGATCATCTTTCCTGGATTTCCCGTGTTTCTGGTTCCTATCTGTACCAGTGTACATCCTCTAGTCTAGATGGATTTGTAAGGTAGAATTTGGATCATGATAGTGGGGGAGGAAGCATTAAAGAACTAGAGGAAAGTTGTATGTTTCATTGGTGCTATACTGCACCCTGACTGGCTCATCTCCTCCCCACGACCCTTCGAGAAGGGGATGTCCAGTTGCCTACATTTGGGCTTTGGGTTTCCTCTCTGCCCTCCCCCTCATTCACAATGATGTGATTTTTTTTTATTCTGGGTCTTTAATGCCTGATACCTGATCCCATCGACACCTCATGATCACACAGGCTGGTGTGCTTCTTCCATGTGGGCTTTGTTGCTTCTCAGCTAGATGGCCGCTTGTTTACCTTCAAGCCTTTAAGACCCCAGACGCTCCATCTTTTGATAGCGGGGCACCATCAACTTTCTTCACTACATTTGCTTATGCACACATTTGTCTTCAGCGATCATATTGGGAAGGTAGGCACACAATGGTATGACTTTTTGTTCCTTGATTCCTGGTACCTGATCCCTTTGACACCTCTGAAAATTTTTTTAGAATGTATATAGGTATGTTGCTATTCCTTTCATTCTGTACATTGCTGGTGTATACCCTTTGAGTTACATGATTCATGTCTTGCTTCACCTCAAATAAACTTTTTATTTCTTTGTTTTCCTTCTTTTTAGAACTTATAAGAGTTATTTGGCCTCCTGTGCATATTATCCATCTTTTAAAATAGATTATTACACTCATTTTTTAACTCATTTTAAATGTCTTTGTGTTTTTATTGTTCTCAGATACATCTCCAACTTTTTATTTCAGATCACTGCCTTCGTATTCAGCCATATCCATTAATCTTTTATTTGGAAATCATCATTTTAATTTTCAAAATATTCTTTTTAATAATAGCCTACTTTTTAACATCTATTTATCACAAGCTTTGTTTCTCAGAAAACTGACAAAAGGTCATTATCTAGATCATATGTAAAACTCTTAACAAATCGATAAGAAAAAATCATACAACTCAATGAAGAAACAAGTAAAGCATGAACATTTAATTCACTGAAATGGAAATACAAGTGCCTTATAAACATGAGAAAAAGTGCTCAACCTTATTACTAATCAGTGATGTAAGTGAAAACATTTTAAACTACAAAATAGCAGTTTTTGCTTATCAGACATGGAATTATTAAATAGATTAATAGTACCTGAATGTTGAAAAAACTCTAATTTTATATTGGTAGGAGTGGAATTTCTGGTTCTTATCATGATTCTTTAACTTTTTGAGGAACTGTCAAATTACTTTATAAAGTGACTACACTTTTATATTCCCACCAGCAATAGATGAGGGTTTCAATTTCTGCATATTCTTTGCCACACTTGTTCTGTTTTATTTTTAAAATAATAGCCATCCTAGTGAGTATGAAGTGGTATCTCATAATGGAGTTTTTGTTTTTATTTTTATTATGGTTAATATTTATGTAACAAAACATCATTTCAATATTTTTCATACAAAGAATTCAGTGACATGAACTAATTATGCTTCTCATGGTGTTGAGGCATCACCAATGTTTCCAGAGTTTCCATCACTCTTAATAGAAGCTCTATGCCTCCTCAACAATTTCCCTCACTCTTGTCTTTCCTTCTTTTTTTAAATCATTTTATTGGGGGCTCATACAGCTCTTATTACAATCCATACATATATCCATAGTGTCAAGCACATTTGTACATCTGTGACCATCATCATTTCAAAACATTTTCTTTCAACTTGAGCCCTTGGTATCAGCTCCAAACTCACTGCCATCGAGTAGATTCTGACTCATAGTGATCCTGTGGAACAGGGTAGAACTGCCCCTCTGAGTTCCTGAGACTCTAACTCTTTCTTTTTCCCCCAAAAGTGGGTGGTAGTTTTGAATTGCTGGCCCAATGAGTAACCACTACCACTAGTAAACGTTGGTCTTTATACACTTGTCTCTTCTAGATATTTCATATAAATAGGATGATATAATATTTGCCCTTTTGAGGTGGATTTATTTCATTCAGCATAATGTTTTCAAGGTTCCTCATGTTATAGCATGTATCAGTTTTTTTCTCTTTATGGAAAAGTACTATTCCATTGTATGTATTTAGTACACGTTGCATATTTATTTACCTTTTGAATATTTAGGTGTGCTCACACTTTGGCTGTTGTGAATGAACATTAGTGTAAAAGTAACTGCTTGTATTTCTACTTTTAGTTCTCTGGGGTATATACCCAGGAGTGGAATTACTGTATTACATGATAATTCTGTGTTTAACTTTCTTTTCTAAAATCCCCCTATTTAATTTTAAATTCATGTTTTAGTTAAGGTTCATGCACTTGTTATTTTGCTTCAGTATTTTATAATCCAGAAAAATACCATTGACTTTTTTTAAAAAGCTCTTTGTCAATCATTGAAATAAAATAAAGTGAAAATTACTGTTACAATTTGATAGAGTGCTTTTGAAAGTGCATATTTCCATTAAAGCATCCTATAACCAAGTAATGTAAATATGCATTCTCACTGCCTTCATGCCCATTCTGATTCATATAACCCTATAACCCTATACCCCTCAACTTTTTCTCAAGTCAAGAGCAATATCCTTTCCCTTCTTTTACCTTTTATGATACTGACTTTTAAAAGATATAATTCATTATAAGTTTTTATTCCATTTTTAATATCTGTACTTAACAAAATTCATTAAAACTAATAGTTCTAATGTCTCATAGATTTGAGATATTGATTGCCATTTAAATACTAAATTGTTTTTAACCCCAGTCCCCATGGAAGCTTTTAGGATCTTCTCTTTTCCCTATTACAATTTACTTTTATTATTTTAAAAATCTTTACATTTTTGGCAACATCATTTCAACCTTCATATTAGTAAGTTCGAAGAACTTTTTTACCAGATTATTTTTCACAGTGGCTGTATCATTTTATATTCCCACCAGCAATTAGAAGGTTCTGCCATTCTTCACATCCTCATTAACACCTATAATTGTTCTTTTTTCAAAATTTTTTCATTTTTTAAATCATAGCAATCTTAATGAGTATGAATTGATGTCTCATTGTGGTTTCAATTTACATTTACCTAGTGATTAAAGATATTGCATATCTTTTCATGTGCTTATTGGCCAATTGTGTCTCTTCTTTGGAGAAATGTCTTTTTAAGTTTTTTGCTCATGATTTCATTGGGTTGTTTCCTGTTTGTAATGTTATATAGAGAGGTAGGTAGATAGGTAAACATTTTTAAATTTTTATAGGTTTTATTTTCACTTTCTTGATAATGTCTTGTAATGTATAATTTTTTAAAAATCCAGTTTAGGTTTCTTTGGGGTTTGTTTGGTTTTTTTGCAGCTCACATTTTGGTATCATATCTAAGGACCCCTTTCAAAAACTAGATCCTAAAACTTTACCCCTATGTTTTCTTCAAAGAGTTATATGGTTTTATATGTATATGCTATAACCATGCTCCAGAATGCCTTGTCTTAGCACAGTATGGCGAGCCTTCAAAAAGTTAATTGACAAACTCCATTACCTTCTAATTCCATTTTTTCCATGAACTTTTTGAACTTTCCTCATATATTGCAACATGTCTCTAATGATTCCTTTAGGGTGTATATTAAGCTAAATCATCTTCTTCGTGGTTGGTTCCTTCATAGGGAAAACTTTGGCCTTTGCTTCTGACCTCAGCTTTTTCCTCTCACCACTCTTTTTAGACACAGATGGCCCTAGGGTTTTCTGCTTGGTGTAGAGACGAGGAAAAAGGAACTGAGTTTTGTTCTTTGGCTGTTCTGACTGGTTCTTCTTTGGCACCCCGACCAGTTCACATATCCATTCAGCAATTATCTGTAAAGCCATGCATAAGTTACATTTTCTGTTTTTATGGTGCTCACATTCTAGAGAGGGAAGCTAGACCCTAAACAAATAAGCCAGTATGATGTAGAATATTTAAGTAAAGGATTACCATGAAAAGGCTCAGGATTACTTATACAGGTTTATCAGAGAAGACTTGTATGTGGAGTGATAGTCACAGGTATCAAATAACATTTTATGAAGAACATTTTGACTAAAGATTATAGAAAATACTGTACCCTAAATTATTCCCTAAGTTATTATTTTGGTTTTTTTGTTTTTGTTTCTATTAGGAGATATCCCCAGATGCTTCACTTCCAGGAGATCCAAAGACCTGTCCTGCTGCTGTGTCAAGTGGTGGAGCCATTCATCTGCATACAGGAGGTGGATATTTTGGCCTAAGCTTTACTTGTCCTAGTCTCAAAAGTCCTATTAGCAAGAGATCCTGGACTCACAAATTTAAAAGCTGGGCATACAGGCTACGGCAGTCAACCAGCTTTTTCAAGAGATCAAAAGTCCATCAAGGTAGTATGCTTACAGTCAGGGACATAGACTAGGTAACATCACTTTTCATTTATTTACGATTTTTTTAATTCATATACAAATCTTGCCACTTTTTCATGTAGCCCATGTATGTTACATAGCCCATTAATGCCATTTCCTTTTAATTTTTCCGTTCATTACTAATTTGATTTTCCAGTTATTTATTTCATTTAGATAGTAAGTCTTGGGTTAATCTTACAATGCCTGATTCAGATAAGGGACTTGAACAATATTGCTTATTGCATTAACACCTTTTAATTATATAGTAGGAATTAAGCTTTTTCTACTTTTATTCTTTTTGGTAACATAAGCAATTTAACAATTTTGTTCTTTCTGCTTTCAACTTGGTAAAACTTTCAGTGGAAACAGAAGATATAAGATCCACAGTTGCTCCTGATCCCATTCCTTTGACACAAGAATCCATAACTGATACTAGGGTTTTGAGTGGATGTAAAGCTATGAATGGATCATTTCAACAGGGACGGCTCCAGGTTTGTATCTTTGGTATCTATCCTTATCTATAAGATCATTATTAAAGGTAACAACATTTAAGATCTTAAGCACTTAAGATAAAACTTATTTTAAATGTAATCATTGCAATATTTAATACATTCTCCTTACATACATCCTCTTACCTTTAGCTATCCAGTAACGGTGAGTCTAAAGAAATGAGAAGTTTAGTAGCTGGAGGATAACACAAACATGGGCCTTCATTTGGAGAATGGATGATTGGATCATCTTCTTTTAAAAATCTATTTTCCTGTCCTTCCAATTCTTGGCAATGTTATTATATTTTTCAAATTTTTTAACTCTCTTTGAGCAATATGAAGCCAATTCTTTTTACCCCAAGGGTCCTATTAAAGACTTTGAATATAGGTAGTTTAGGTGAGAATTTTCAGGTTTTGTGTTACTGATTTGTATATATTATAGCCACTTATCTGTGCCATATAACTTATTTTTTCATGAAGTTTTATCTTTGATTAGTCACTTTTGCCTTTTTATATCTCAGGTTATTACAGTTCCTCAGCAGCACTCAGTGAAGGTGACATCTTTTGGAATAGAGCACATACCAACTCTCAATCAAATGACAAATCATTCTAATGAAGACACTCTCATCTTTACTGAAGCAGCAAAGTCTCAGTTCATAGAACTGGAACCTGACATGCACAATCCACAAACTTCATTTTCTCCTCAGAAGTTACAAGTTTTTCTTGAAACTACTAAAGAAGATAAAGGCATTCCCAAACGAGGTGACAACATTTTATCTTTCAGCACAATTTGCGAGACAGTTATATCTTCTGTAATGCCAGAAAAGGAATTGGAAGAAACTTCAGGCACAGAAAATAGTATCCAATCTGGATCTGAACTGTTACTTAAAGAGAAAGAGACACTGATTATTGGGAAACAACCCAGCTCTGATAGTGAAGTTTCAGCTTCTCTTGCTGGCTGTGAAAAGTCAGTGGCAAAGACTGGTTCAGAAAGGAATCAGTGCCATGAAGAACAGACCTACATTCAAACACAGAGTTCCCTCTTCTATTCACCATCTTCCCCAATGAGCAGTGATAATGAGTCAGAAATAGAGGATGAGGACTTAAAGGTGGAACTTCAAAGATTACGAGAAAAGTAAGGACCGTTTTTCTTCTGTCACAAAGGTTTTATAGAACTTTGTATGTAATTGGTAGGCAGATATTTAGGATTTTAATAATTTTATATTTTTTATGAATTGAGATTATAAAGAAAGCCAAAATAATACCTACTTGATAAATATTTATTACTGTGAAAGTTGTTATAAATTATTTTCATAGTTGAAGGGTTAATTATCATTGGCTAAATGTCAGGGATTCTTGGGAGTTCCAAGTAGTGTAAATGATTAACACATTTGGCTGCTAAATGAAAGGTCGGAAGTTCAAGTCTACTAGAGCAGACTCAGAAGAAAGCCCTAGTGATCTACTTTAGAAAAATCAGCCTTTGAAAACCCCAGGGAACTTAGTTGTATTTTAGCTCACACAGTTGCCATAAGTTGGGAGTCCACTTGATGGTATCTATTTTAGTGATACTGTTGTAATAGGGTTTATCACATAAACACAAAAAACCCATGGCCATCAAGTCAGTTCTGACTCATAGTGACCTTACAGGGCAAGGTAGAACTGACCCTGTGAGGATCCAAGGCTAACTCTTTATGGGAGTAGAAAGCCTTGTCTTTTTCCCAAGGAGTGGCTGGTGATTTTGAACTGCCGACCTTGCTGTTAGCAGCCCAACTTGTAACCACTACGCCACCAGGGATGCTTTATTTTATCATATGGGAATATTTTTGTATTTAGTTTTATAAACCAGGCCATATTTTTATGAAATTAGTATTTAGTTACTGAATTCTTTCTAATTTTATTCACATAGTTCAAACACCCAAAAACATATAAAAGGGAAACCAATAGAGTCTCCCTCTTAACCCTCTACCCAAGTCACCCAGTGGGTAACCAATATAACTTGTTTCTTGTATATCTAAAATTTATTTATGTACTTGTATATACAACATATATACATATTTTACTATTTTCACCCACAAATTGTAGCATATTCTATAAACTCCATCTTGTTTTCTCACCTTTTTGCTGTATTTTGGATACATGACTGTATATTTTTATAGTTTGATATTAATACATTATGTGGATACCCCAAAATTATGTACAAGCCTCCTATTAATGACCCCATATCATTATTTTTAAAAGTTGAAATCAACATTAGCTATTTTTTACCAGACCTTATACTTAAAAGAGTTTCTACCTTGTTCTGGGACTTAACTTGTAATGCAGGCAGAATCAGGGAGCAGGTAAAATATAAATAGAGGAAAAGCTGGCTTTTAACCAGATTTTTACATATTTGGGTAATATACCAAGCAGATGCTAAGTTAGATTGCTTCAATAACTAAAGTAGGTCAAAATCCTTAGAATAGTCTTAGTTTTAAAGGCCTTGCTCAAAGGAGGAAACAATACAAAACTATCATTCTAATGAGGAGTAAGTATAATATTATTTTCTTTCCAACCTGGTTCATTTCTTTTCAGAAAATTGTAAATGTATTCATCTTTGAGAGATATTTTTTAAAAAGCATAATGCTCTTTTAATTTGAGCTTAAAAGGAAATTGTGAGTGTATACTTTAACATTAATCATTGAAAAGTTGATTTTTAAAAAAGATAATAAAGATACAGGTTTGACTTTGTAATATACAATATGAGCTATGTAACATGTTGGGAGAAAAATGGGGCTTTCTGCTTCTTTAAAATTTACAACTTCAAATATATAGAGACAGTAACTGGTGTAACGGCTTATTGGGGATACAGTGGGGAAGGAAGATGGGAGAAAATAATGAACATAAGAAGGCAGAAAATGGTCTAGAACAGAGTGTAGTGATGTTTATACAACTCTTCTTAATACAACTGAACTATGGGAGTATGTAATATATAAATCATATCTCAATAAAACTATTTTTAAAAAATTACAGCCTCCAAAACCCAAAGAGGCAGTTCTATCCTGTCCTATAGGAGCTCTATGACTTGGAATAGACTCAGTGGCAGCAAGTTTGGTTTGGGTATGTAGTACATGTACACTGTAATTTTATAATGAAGTCAGTTTTTACTAAAATGGTTTTAATATTTCTAATGTCAATACTACATCACTGTTTCTAATGATTCTTTTAAATAATTAAATGAATTTTTAAAATTTCACAAAAGACTGGTAGTTTTTATAAATGATTATAATGGCTGTGAATATTTTATTTTGACTATAAGACATGGATTTTCATATCCATATAGAACCCAGAACCTCCAATATTTTAAAAGATAATTTTTCTATTTTGTGTTCAGTGTTAATTTGAAATTCTGACTCTTTGCAACTTTTTTTTAATCCAGCATGATGTTTCTAAGAATTATAGTTTTATAGATTTATATTAGTGAAATGGGATTTTAGACCACACTGGTTTTGAATTAACTACAGCCTTTTAAATGTAAATATCTATATTAAAAATATATATATCATTGTAAAAGTGATACATAGAAAAGATTCAAACAAGAGAGAAAAAAACAAGCAAAAGGAAAAAAAGCTTTCTCTTTTCTCATGTTCCAGTTTCACTTCTCAGAAGTAACCGCTATGAACTGTTACTAGCTAGTAATTTTTCCTTGTATTTACAAATATAGTTTTCATTGTTTACAAAAGTAGGATGATAATATAAATGTTATTCTCCAATTTTTTAACATAACATTTTTTCTGTGTATTTTTACACAAATAAATCTATCTTAAATTTAAATGACTGCATGCTATTCTAATATATGATGAGTTTAACAATATTTATTTGATCCCTCATTAATGTACATAGAAACTGTTTCCCATCTTTTACTTATGTAAACAATGCTGAAACAAACTTTATATTTTTACATATTTATGTATTTCAGGATAAATGCCTGAAAGTGAAATTAGTGGATTAAAGCCTGTACAAATTTTAAATGGATAAAACCAAACTCACTGCCATCAAGTCAGTTCCGACTCTATAGGACAGAATAGAACTGCCTCTGTGAGTTTCCAAGACTGTAACTCTTTACAGGAGTGGAAAGCTTTATCTTTGTCCTGTTTAAAAGGATAGATACTGCTAAAATTGTCTCTCGCTGTAATTATTTCATTTTACATTCTTTTAAAAAGTATATGACAGTGTCTTTTCTCTGGCACATTGAACTAGATATTTGTTGTTGTAGTTAGGTGCCATCAACTTGGATCCAACTCATAACAATTCTGTGTACAAAAGAATGAAACACTTCTCAGCCCTACACCGTCATCACAATTGTTGTTTCAGCCCATTATTACAGCCACTATGTCCATGTTGTCGAGGGTCTTCTTCTAAGACAGATTTGTTTGTTCCTTTGGCAGTCCATGGTACTTTCAGTATTCATCGCCAGCACCAAAATTTAAATGTATCAATCCTTCCGTCTTAACTTATTCAATGTCCAGCTTCCACATGTATATGAGGCGATTGAAAATACCATGGCTTAGATCAGATACTCTTTAATCCTCTAAGTAACATCCTTGTTTTTCAACATTTTAAAGAGGTCTTGTGCTGCAGATTTACACAATGCCATGTGTCCTTTGATTCTATGAGCATTGCTTGTGAATCCAAGCAAGACAATCAATAACAACTTCAGTCTTTTCTCCATTTGTCATGATTGGTACAGTTGTGTGGATTTTTTTACATTGAGTTGTAATCTGTACTGAAGGCTACAAGCCTTCAATCCTCATCAAAAAATGCTTCAAGTCCTTCTCACTTTCAGCAAGTAAGGACTAGATGTTAGTCAGATTTTTTTCCCAAATGAATAAGAATTAAAAAAAATTAGGTTCCCTGTTTTATAGTGAGTGAGGTTGTTACATCATCTCATATTTATCAGTTATTGAATTTCCTCATTTTGAGAGTTACCTTTTCATATTCTCTGCCCTTTTTTCTTTGCAGTTTTTAAATATGTTGTTATTGATTTTTAGAAATGATTTATATGTTCTGAACGTTAACTATTACTGTTTCAAATATGTTCTTGTTTCTATTTGCAACATACAATAAAGGGTTGTTATTAATACGATTTGATTTCATTTTATTGGGGTTTTTTTAGGTTTTATTGTTTTCAACTGTATTGAAGTGTTAGAAATTTACCAAATTTATTTACCTTTTTCTTTACATCTGATTTTTTAATGTTATACTTAGGAAAGCATTTCCTGCCTTAAATTTGTGAAAAGAGTCTCCTGCAATCCCCAATCTTAATCTATATTCCTTGTTATATTACTTGTACTGCTGTAGAAATTCTTGCCACATATGTATTGTACCAGTGCCAATAATATGGTTTCTGTATGATTTATATTTAGACACATTCAAGAGGTAGTAAATCTTCAAACCCAGCAGAATAAAGAGCTGCAGGAGCTCTATGAACGCCTTCGGTCAGTTAGAGATAGCAAAGCGCAATCATCAGAGATACTTCTTCTACCTGCATCACCACGTCGACCAAGATCTTTCAAAACCAAACTTCGAAGTCGCCCTCAGTCCTTGATACATGTGGATAATAACATAGCTGGCACAGGTAAATAATTCATAAAAGTCATTTTTAAAACTTTCTTCAAATATAAGCAAAAATCATATAAAGAAGTGTACATTATTCTGAGGTTCTTTTCTACTTGTTAATGGTAAATTTTTATGAAATACAGGTGATGATGAATGATAGATTTTGGGAAGCAGATGAATGTGTCTTATATTTCATTCAGAAAACAAACAATTGAAAGTCTAATAACAATCCCCAAAATATCTTTGGAAATTTTGCCAATGGGAACTGCTAGTTCCCACTGAGTTTCTTGGTAACAATGATAATCTTGAAAATTTGTTCATGACTCTTGTCATCAGACGGTGCAAGTTTAACATCTTACCATTTGTTTTCCCTTTTAACCAATTTTTTATTATTAGCTGGAATTTAATACATAAATTATTGCAAATTTCATTCACATCAAGTAGAATGTACAATTACTACCACAATCAGTTCCTAAACATTCTTTTTCTACACGGACTCCTTGACATCATCTCCCTTTTACCCCATCCGCCTCCACCACCTTCCCCACTTCCCCCAATAGAACTATTTTTGACTTGTTCTAGTTTTTCTTACTTTCTACTATTTTTTGGATTGAGGTTTTTCTGTGTCTTGCTCTGTTAAAAAATGATTTTTTTGGGAATGATGAGGGCAACAAATGTATAGATGTGCTTTACACAATTGATCTATGTATTGTGACGAATTGTATGAGCCCCAATAAATTGATTAAAAAAAAATGATTTTCTTTGTATGAAGTGCAAGATAGGTAAATCTATAGAGACAGCAACTAGATTAATAGTTTCTTAGGGTTATGACAGGGGATGTTGGGGGAAATAGAAAGCTAATAATAATGGATACAAGAATGAAGAAAACGTTCCAAAATTGATTGTGGTGATGAATTCACATCTCTCTTTAATATATTTAAACCCTTGAATTGTATAGCATGTGAGTTATATTTCCAAACTGTTGAAAAATAAATGACAATAAAGCAAGAACAACAAATGTATATACTTATGTACTTTATGACGATTTTTATTTGTAATGAGAATATCAGAAATAAGGTAATTTGATTTTGAAGATGAGCCCCGGTTGCCTTGGTTAAAGCACTCAGCTGCCAATGGTTTCAGCTGACACTTTGAACCTATCATTTGCTCTGCCAAAGAGAGACATGGCAGTTATTTTCTCTGAAGGTTAATAGCCATGGGAACCCTCTGGGACAGTTCTACTCTGTCCTATAGGGTTGCTATGAATCAGAATCAACTTGAGAGTGATAGGTTTGGGTCAAGGAATATTAGCTTGGAAGAAAAAGTCAGTCTCAACAAATACAGAAATTACTACACAGATCAGGCTTTTTTGTTTACAAGTGTCCCAGTAAGATAGAGATTGAGGGTGGATTGTAATGATATATATTTGAAATTTCCAGCAATTTGTGGTAGATTGAATAATAGCCCTCTCCTCGTCTCTGGAATTTCTGACTATGCTATATTATGTGGGAAGGGGAAATTAAGGTAACAGATGGTCGTAAGGTTGCTAATCAGCTGACTTTAAAATAAAAGAAATTATCCTGAATATCTGAATGGGACTAATTTAATCACAGGGTCCTTAAAAACAGAAGAGGAAGACAGACAAAAGAGTAAGAGAAAAGATATGACAAGGGAAGCAAAGTCAGAGAAATGCAACTCTCGTGGCTCTGAAGTTGGAGAAAGAGGGCCATACACCAAGGAATGCAGAAAGCCTCTAGAGCAGTGGTTCTCAACCTTCCTAATGTTGTGAGCCTTACAGTAGTTCCTCATGTTGTGGTGACCCCCAACCATAAAATTATTTTCATTGCTACTTCATAATTGTAATTTTGCTACTATTATGAATTGTAATGTAAATATCTGATAGGCAGGATGTATATTAATTGTTACAAATTGAACATAATTAAAGCATAATGATTAATCACAAAAACAATATGTAATTCTATATTGTGAAATATTTATTTCTAATGACAAATAAATGAAATTTTGTCTTAAAGCATGGTGCAGCATAGGTAACAGTCTTCATGCTGGGTACTCATATGTGGGTGTATCTGCATGTGGGCAGACCCACCTGGAGACAGATAGAGGAGCAGTATCTTGGTTCCTAAGACCATTGGAGCTATGTGTTCTCCCATGGTCTTAGGTGACCCCTGTGAAAGGGTCCTTTGACTCCAAAGGGGTCACGACCCACAGGTTGAGAATCACAGCTCTAGAACCTGGCAGAGGCAAGCTAATAGAGTCTTCCCTAGAGCCTTCAGAAGGAATGCAGCCCTATCAACACCTTGATTTTGGCCCAGTAAGACCTATGTCAGACATTTAACCTACAAAAGTATAAGATAATAAATTGTATTGGGAAAAAAATTGTATTGGCTTAAGTCACTAAGTTTCTGGTAAATTGTTATAGTAGCAATAAAGAACTATAGAGATATCAAGAAAAAATGTGGATGTTCCTCAAAAGTAGAACAAAAGGGTAGATTTAGATTGTTGGCAGCTTTGAATATTAAATAACAGCACTACATGGATTATTGATCAGTTTCTAATGATTGAATCAATTCTGACTCATAGCAACCCTAAAGACTGCCTGAGATTTCAAAGGCTATAGTCTTTTTGCTTTTAATTTTAATAGTTTTATTGTCATGTATTTCACATATAATACAATTCACTGATTGACATATATTAAAGAGTTGTGCAATCATCACCACCATCACATTTTTTCTTTCTTGTACTCTGTGGCAATTACATAATCTGTTGTCAATTTGAGAGAATTAAGAGTGAAGGTGTAGAGTCTAGCAGGTCAATCAGGTCTTAGCCAATGAGGCCTCTGTGTGGGCCTGGCCTTCTCTTGAGGATTCTGGGAACTCTTATATTCCTCCTTGGAGGTGGTAGACACTCTCTCTTGGCTCACTCCCGGAAAGACATCCCTGTGGGGAAGACACATGGCGAGAGGCTGATGGAGCTAGACCTCTGGAGCTGGAGAAACCACGTGGAGACCCCTGTCAGTGCTGAGATGCTTAAAATGCCACTGGATCCACAAGACTTCCCACCTACTGACCTGTGATCTTCCTGCATTCGGTGCCATTGCATGTGTTTCATGAGTCTGAAGAGGACTTTATAGATTAGTATCAGACATATGGGCTAATATCAGACTTATGGACTTGATCTGGACTG